CAGTAACAGTCTAAAACGCAGTCATTTTGGCCTTCCCAAGCAATTTAGTCATATGTGGTGTTTTCTCTTTTTGGTTTTTATTTTTTACATTTTTAACTAGGTTACTGTTGGTTCCTATTCTGTCTTTTTTGCCAGACCTACATCTGGGTACCGGATACAATCAGTTGGTTAAATTTTGCTTGCAGTTCTGTGTATTCTTTTTCCTCTCTTATTTATTTTTTAAAAAAATGGAGATCCCAACCTTACGATCTTTGATGTTAAGCTAGCACTGTCTGTAATACTTCTAAGAGCTGCCACTAAAATAATACAGCAATCCGTGGCCGGGGAAGCAACCCCCTCCTGGTTGGGCCCCTCAGTTGGAGTCTAAGGGTTAATCTCTCATCTTGCTAAGCAGTATTCAAGTGCCTTGAACAGTGTCCCCTCGGCGTGGCTCCCCTTCAGCACGCTGATGTTCCAAGCAGTGGCCCCTGCAGGCAGCCGACCCCCTTCCTCTTCACGCCCTATGAGTTTAAGAAGCTGATTTGTACCTCTCCCCTGGGGGAAACGGTTCCATATAAAACACTAACACTTAATTACAAGCTCCATTATGCCATTTTAAATGGCTTCTTTTTGTTAATTGGAGGCAGTGTTCATAACTTAAGGCTTTTGCCATTAACTTAGCTGGCTAAGCAGAGGCTCGGCATAAAATCAGTGTTTGCATTTAGCCTCTTGACCCAGGGTTCCTGCCCAAGCTCCCTTGTGATAGCCGAGATGGCAGGTGTATGGGTTCTGCGCTAGACCTGTGCCCAACTCACTTCCATCCCAGAGGAGTCTTCTGTCCTCCTCCCCAATCCCCGAGCTCCCAGGTAACCTCCTCTTGAACTTGTGTATCAGTGAAGACATCTGTGGTTTCTGCTCACCAGACCTCTCTTTAGAAAGGGTTATCAGAGCCATGGAGCTTAGCTCAACTGGATTCTTCCAGACGATCTTAGGAGTCATCTTGGCATGAGGCAGCTTCTAAGCATCTCCTGGGACAGGATCGGGGCAGACAGCCCAGGGATTCGTGCGTGGGGGAACTCTCTGAGAAATGCCAGGATCGTGGTTCACAGGGACTCACCATCAAACCCTGCTACTTTGTGCAAGTAATTGAGGCAAAAGATACCAGTCGACGGCCTCCCTGGGGTAGATCCCTTGTACCTCCAAAGTACAAATACCTCCCGGCTCAGTTTCCTTTCTGTCGCCATCTTTGTTTTCTTCCCATTGAAAAACCATTCTGTCTGATGTGGACGTTCAGGTCTGCTGGTTGGCAGTCCGGGCCCAGAGTGCAGCAGAGCTCTGGGTTAAATATTCCTTTCTGGCCACCGCCCAAGCCCAGGTGGCCAGCTCTCATACCCCATCTCCCTCCTTGGCCAGGGCCAGCATCAGGCGTGCAGCTCACGACCAGTTTACACAGGTTGTAAAGAGATCGCTGTGGGCCTCGGCTGACTACTTTAAGATCGTGCCACAGCCAGGCCCTAAAAAGAGAGGAGAACAGGAGTCCCCAGGTGAGCTCCCTCACGGGCAGGTGCCTTCCCGACTAAGGTTGGACTGGATGACTTTGTTCCTCCTGCACGCATGTCCTTTGATACAAGGTAGATCAATGAACTCTGTTGACATTCTATGCAATGTTTTTCATTCCTCTGATTTTAGCAAAGCAAATCTTACTGAAAAATAGCAGAGTCTGGGGAATAGACGCATGTCCTTCTGGGAGTCACACAAAGAAAAGCAGAGAGATTTTGAACTGAGGGGCGACAGCCTTTGCCTTAAATGCACTATGACAGGCGCATCTTGGCAGACCAGTGAAAACAAAAGTCCATAGACCTTACTCATCCCAAGGCCGACAAGCCAGCTGTACAGGGGGAGATGTAGCGATACGGGGCATGTGCGGTGGGCGTGCTGGGCTGTTCGCTGTGGTACTTTAGGCTGGAGGTTTGGCTCCAGTGCTGCCGGTGGGGGGGCCCTGTCCCTCCCCGGATGTCCTCCCTCTTCTTCACACTCCTCATTGTCCCTTCTACCTCACTAACCTGTGTTCTCCATCTGATGTCACCCAGAACCACACCCCGCAGAACTATGAGGCACGTGGGCTGGAGAGGGCGGGAAAGCTGCCAGCGCAGCAGACACGAGCATCCCTCTGCCTGGTGGGCTGGTGTTGTGTGTCTCTCCTTTTGTGAGCACAACACGGACAGACAGCTGTGCTCTGCAAGGCACATGGATTTTTCTCTTGACTTCCACCTGTTCTCAAAGCTCCAGCAGCTGTTTCTTTTGCAGGCAGGGCGTGGTCTCGGGCCTCCAAGGGTCTTTGCCTATCCTTTCTGTCCAGTCCTGCTCAGCTGTTAAGATCCATCATGGCTATTATCCTTGCCCCGGGCTGCCCCAGAGTGGCCACATGAGGACACTTCCCAAGATTCCCAGCTGGCTTTGGGGAATGCTGTAGCTCTTGGGTGTCTGTTGTCTCTGGCATGGTTTCAGCGTCACTGCGAACGCTCCTTTGCAAACATCAAACTTCTCAAAGACAGAAAAGGATAGATGGCTTCCTCCAGTCTACACGCCCCGTCCACACTTGCATCACCCTCTTATCCCAAAAGAATATGCCAGTTCCCATCCAGCACCGAAGAAAACCAGCTCCTGGGGCTGCTGGTTGGAGGTGGGTCTGTCCACTGTGGGGGTCACAGTGTTCCCCTGCTGGAGAGAGTTTGCAAGTAAGAACCCAAGTGTGGGGACAGCATCCTATGATTGGGCATTGACCAGCCAAAGCTCACATTTAGAAATCCCTCAGTGCTTCTGTGGTTTCACCTGGGCATCGATGACATTAGGGAAGCCTTTGTGACCACAAGGGCAGGGCTTATGGCCTGAGTGGCAAGGTGGTGACCTGGGGCCAGTGTGACATGGTTGGATCTCAGCGTGTACTAAATGTCAGTCTGGCCAGCACACTCGAACGCTAAGAGAATGGTCCAATTTGACGATCTTATGTCTATTTCCATCAGGTTTTGACTTTCTGTAGATGAAAACTACCAGGGAAAAGGGGAAGCAGGTACCCAGTAAAGTTTAGAAAGATCCAGTCTGTGAAACCCTTAGAGATGGACTGAAAGTTAAGTCCACAACCCTTGGGCTTAATCAGGACAGAAGAGGAGGGGGCATAGGGGGCAGAACGTAAAAGGAGCTCCAGCCCTGCTCCCGGCCCCCCAGCCCAGTCTTCCCAATTCCAGAGGCCTCGGCGGCCTGTGCTCCTCACCACCCTGGTCAGGGGAGTAGAAGGAAATGCAATTTCTGCCTGTCTGCCCGACTTCCAAACACTTCCCCCTCCTGCCCAGGCCTCTCCCACCACCACCTCTCCTCCAAAGATAACCGTGTCCATGCCGTCCGTGGCATCATCTCGAGTTTTCATTTTTGGATGAAGTGACATTTAGCTTTAACAAGACATTTCCAAAGCGCCTAGTCTCCTCCAAAATGCTAACTTTAAAAGTTGGGCATTGTAGGCGAAAAATCCCGGAAAAAAAAAAAAAAAAAAAAAAAAAAAAAAAGGCTGGCGAGAGAAAGACATTCGGCTATGCATAAATGTGCACTTCCCCCATCCCCCTGTTCTTAAACTCTTAAGATGCCCTTGAGTTGCTTTTCATGAATCCCTTTAGTTTACCCAGTAATGTTAAGAAAGCATTAGTCTGCGTTACTGTAATTTCTGTAGTGTTTAGGCTTTAATTTCTTCCACAAAATATGCTATATGCTATGTATCAAACTTTCTGTAATCAGAAAGAAAAGGTGCCTTATATCCCAATGTCACGGCTACATCCCTATGGAAATTAATCAGAAGCACAGTGTGTACGGAAGCATTGGGACTTCTGCTGGTGAAACGAGACACCATTCAGCAAGACACATTGAAGTGGCACGGAGCTGCTTTTGTTTTATTCCTTTTTCCCCCCTTTTGCTTCTTTTTTATTATTTTTTTTTTGTAGTTTGCTTTAAACAAAAAGCACTTAAATAGATGACTATGTGTAAAAGCTCTGTGCAATTGAAATCATTTTTCTTCATTTTAAAAAAATAACGTATTGCACACCAAATGAACTCAAAGTAAGCTTTAGACCAGGACGATTCAGGTTATGAATGAGTTTGTTCACTGTAGTTCCGTTTGTTCATGAACCGAAGGGAAAACAGGCCTCCCCCATTCCCTCCAGTCTCCCAGCCTGCCTCTTGGTGACCACTGAGCTGGGCGTGCAGGGCCCGCGGGCTCTGGCCGGAGCCGCTGGCCTGACGAGGCAGGATGGGGAGTGTCGGTGTTTCAGAAGCTGAGAGCCTTCCCCAGTGTCTGAGTCCACAGCCATCCCTTCCAGCACTTAACCTTGTCTTGTTGAAATGGACTGACTGCTACTGACCTGCCGGCGTGCGTGAGGGTGATTATAAAAGGATGTTTCCTTGAGAAAAAAAAAAAAAAATTATTTCTATCCTCTTCTATTTATTATTAGGTTAATCATTTAAGTACTTATCAGGAGTGTATTGTTATTTTGTGTTTTGTTGTCATAAATGCTTTTTGCTGTCACTCTAGTGGTTACTATCCTCTGCCTTCCTCTCCTCCCCCATTCCCCCAGAGAACCAAGGCGTCTGGGGGATTAACTGGGGGGCAGATGGGTTTCCCCAGCAAAATCAAACACCTGTCTCCAGAGTAGCCACTCAAAAACTGGTGGTCTCTATGTGTCTAACTTTTTAAACGAGAGAGTATATGAACAAAAAAACATCTACCAACGAGTGAGGGAGTGCTGAGTTGAAGAACGCTCGCTTGAGGAGCTTCAGAGGAATCTTAGCAAAGCCAAGTTCAGTTCCCCAAAGCCTCCTAGAGCCTCTGGTAAGACTTCTGGGTTCATGAAGTTTCGGCGAACCCCGGTCAGAGAGGGCGCGGTGGCCTGGCCAAGACTTTACTTCCAAGCGAGAGAGTGATTTCTTGCAAGGCCCGCACGGGTTGATATGTTTTGGTTGGTTTTTTGTTGTTACTGTTTTTCTTGCGTACAAAGTTGGTCAAAACCATCTTTCAAAGCAACAGTGTTTTGTAGTACCAGGCTGTGGCTTGAGGGCTCACCTAGGAGAGCATAGGCAGAGGGCCCCTTTTCTATAGGTGGTTCAATGTGGAGGAAGGTTGGGTGTGGAGATTGCTTGCTGTGGCCCCAAGCTCAGCCAGCAGGACACCAGTTGCTTGCCAATCGGGTGTGAAGGTGAGATGCCCTGCCTCGATCCCATGGGCCCAGCAGAAGGAATCTTACCCCAGGCCAAGGCAAGGGTCCTGCCCACCCCAAGGTAGGCTGGGAAGAGTATCTCTTTCCATACCATCACCTCCCCTTCTCCAAGATCGCCGGGGGTCCTGATTTTGTTCTCTCTTTGAAAGAAACCCTCCACCGAAACAATGGTCCCCATCTCCCCAAAATACTTTTTTTTTTCATTTTTCTCTAATCAGTCTATGCATTTCTCTCTCTCAAACCATCTTCTGCCTCTTCCCTTGAGAAAACGGGCATCTCACGTCCCCCATCTGAGACCTCTTGGAAAAAAAAAAAAAATCCCGTGCATTCTGGAGATGTGAGAATTCACCCAAAATTCTTAAAGCATTGGAGAATAGCTTGTTATAAAATAAAAGTGGGGGAAAAAAGAAGGTGGTTTTCCCCACATCCCTTTCCATTGAATAAGAGACCTAGTTCTTTGCGTTTGTGCAATAATAACTGTTTGCTGCTTGCCTTGAGAGCGGGTAGCACCACGCTCCTGTCCAGACTACTAACAGCACAAGACGCACTCGCAGGGTGGCGGAATCTTCCGGAAAACTCTTTATAAGCTCAGCAACCCCCAACCCACCCCCGCTCCAGTGTTTTGTCACGTCTTACATTTTAGCAGTATTTTATATTTTCTGTAACGCACCAAGTCTTAGATCTTTCTAGAGCTTGTTTGTTAATCCTCACAATCACAGATTTTTTTTTCTCCAATCCTCACAAAGACCCAATTGACCAAAAAAAAAAAAAGGAAAAAAAAAAAAAAAGTTTTTTTTTTTTTTTTTTGTACAAATCGCTTTGAGATGCCTCTGGTGTGTTGCTGTATGACATCTCTCTGATAACATTTTATTTCTTGCTATTTGTTTTTCTACATTAAGAGTCAAAGTTGACCTGGCTGGCGTGGGGGTGGGGGAGGCACCCGTCGGCCCCTTGGTGTTGTCCCTCTGTCTTTGGTTAGCCATACGATGTTTGTTCTCAGCACTGTACAACGGTCCCTATATAATACGGAGAAGCAATATCACTGTATGAGACTCACACCATGTATTATTATTCACTAGCACCCTAGGTGTGATAATTGAAGTAAATATCTTTTATACAAACACAAGAATGTCTGGGTTGTTTTTATTTAAAGTGTTCTGGCCTGAGGACGAGCAGCAAACACTGTCATTTAGGGTCCAAATGGCACCTCGAGAATCGCCGTTCCCGAGGTTGTCCTCCTTGCACCTGTCCGCACGTCCTCGGGCGTGTGGCTTCCGGGCACACAGAAAACCGCGTGGCTCTAGGAGGCATGAGGGTTTCGGGCACCGCTCTTTCAGTCTGCATCCGGCTCACAGGAAGGGCTCCGATGGGGCCTGCGTTCCTACTTGCTGTTGTCACCAGCACTGTTTGCCTAGCCTTGAACCCAGCCCTTACCCTCCCTGGCGTCCGCTTCCTTGTCTGTAAAATGGAGACACCATTGCCTGTCATATAGGCTTGCTGTGGGGAACCAGGAATGGTGGCCAATGCTGGTGTGGCACCGGGTTGGTGGTGGCAGCCCCAATCGATGGCACTTGGGTGACCAGGACTACGGCCAGGCTGCTCTGCCTGGTGGCCCGCAGCTGGTCAGTGGCGTGACCTCAACCTTCTGTGTGGGGCTCTCACTGTGCCCCTGACTTCTGATGTAACAGAAAGACAAGTGAAGAGCGCCAGTTAATGCTTGCGAGTGGGCCGGAAGAGGGGATTGGGACAGTGGCTTGCGGGTCTCTGGAATGCTGGGGCGGCTGAGCAGGGTCTCTTTCCAGATGGCGCTCAGGCTGGACATGGGGGAATGGCTCTGCCGAGGTGGCTGCTAGGCTTCTCCGCGCAGTTGTGACTCAGAGGCTGTTGCTCGTCTTGAGACCTACCGGGTTGGAACAGAGCCGTCTGCCAGGCTGATGTGTGTCTAGTGGAAGTGGCGGATGACTTGGTCGCATATTACTTCGGAGATTTCAGATTGTGGAATGCCCACATGTGATACAGAAGCATAAGCCTCTCTCCGAATTACACTGGATTCAATCCTTCCTCCAGTGGGAGAACCCAGAGTATGGGATGGAAACGACCCCCAGTGCCAGGTGCAATCGGCAGCCCCGCGTCTCACGCAGTCACTCAGGGCCAAGGGTGTCAGAGTTACCCCAAATGCCAGCCCCCTCAGATAGGAGAGACCTGCATAAAACCTTAAGAGCTGGCCCGGCGCGGTGGCTCACACCTGTAACCCCAGCACTTTGGGAGGCTGAGGCGGGCGGATCACTTGAGGTCAGGAGTTCAAGACCAGCCTGGCCAACATGGTGAAACCCTGTCTCTACTAAAAATACAAAAATTAACCAGGCATGGTGGTGGGCGCCTGTAATCCCAGCTACCTGGGAGGCTGAGGCAGGAGAATTGCTTGAACCTGGGAGGCAGAGGTTACAGTGAGTTGAGATTGCGCCATTGCACTCCAGCCTGGGCTATAGAGTGAAATTCCGTCTCAAAAAAAAAAAAAAAAAACCCTAAGAACTCTGCCAGTTTGGTATTTGACACACTGAAGTCTGACGTGGTTAATTTTTCTGTTTGCTAGTTTAGGCATGCCCCCATGTATTTAATGATCTGTTAACTAAATTAAAATAAGAAATGTTAAAAAAAAAAAAAAAGGGAGGGAGGGAGGAAGGAAGGAAGGAAGGAAGGAAGGAAGGAAGGAAGGAAGCAAGCAAGCAAGCTGGGCACAGTGGCTCATTCCTGTAACTCCTATAAGCCCAGCACTTTGGGAGCAGGTCAAGGCAGGAGGATTGCTTGAGTGCAGGAGTTTGAGACCAGCCTGGGCAACATAGTGAGACCCCATCTCTACAAAAAATAAAAAATTAACTGGGCATGGTGGCATATGCCTGTAGTCCCAGCTACTCTGGAGGCTGAGGTGGGAGGATCACTTCTGCCCAGGAGTTCAAGGCTGCAGTGATCTCTGATGGCACCACTGCTCTCCAGCCTGGGCAACAGAGCAGGGACATGAACCTAAAAAAAAAAAAAAGTTTGCTCAAAGTCTTTTTCCTCGGAAAATTGAGACAGGGTCTCAGTCTGTTGCCACCTCCTCCTCCCAGGCTTAAGCAACCCTCCCACCTCAGCCTCCCAACTAGCTGGGACCATAGGTGTGCGCCACCACACCTGGCTAATTTTTTGTAGAGACGGGGTTTCACCATGTTGCCCAGGCTGGTCTGAGCTCAGGAGATCCACCCACCTGGTTCTCCCAAGTACTGGGATTATAGGAGTGAGCCACTGCGCCCGGCCTCCCCACGTGCTTCTAAAGTGAGATTTAATTAAGCAAAACTGCAATTGCACCTGGTTTTGCAGGGTTAGCTGCAGAGGCAGAAAAAGAGAGTGAGATTTCATGCTCTGACTGCAATTGGCTGATGCCCCCATTCCAGGCAAATGGTTCAGCCTTGACCTTTCTCCTGTCCCCGCAGTTAAGTGGATCTGAACAGAACCTTGTTCCTTGCTTTTGTTTTTGAGACAGAGTCTCTCTCTGTTGCCTAGGCTAGAGTTTAGTGGCACGATCTAGGCTGGCTGCAACCTCTGTCTCCTGAGTTCAAGCAATTCTCCTGCCTCAGCCTCCCGGGTAATTGGGATTAGAGGTGCGTGCCACAATGCCCAGATAATTTTTAGTATTTTCAGTAGAGATGGGGTTTTACCATGTTGGCCAGGCTGGTCTCGAACTCCTGACCTCAAGTGATCTGCCCACCTTGGCCTCCCAAAGTGCTGGGATTACAGGCGTGAGCCACCGTGCCCGGCCCCTTATTTGTTTTTTGTTTTGTTTTGTTTTGTTTTTAAGATGGAGTCTGGCTCTGTCACCCAGGCTGGGGTACAATGGTACCATCTCGGCTCGCTGCAACCTCCGCCTCCTGGGTTCAGGCGAGTCTCCTGCCTCAGCCTCCCAAGCAGCTGGGATTATAGGTCCTCACCACCACACCCTGGCTTTTTTTTTTTTTTTTTTGTATTTTTGGTAGAGATGGGGGTTTCGTTGGCCAGGCTGATCTCGAACTCCTGACCTCAAGCGATCTGCCTGCCTCAGCCTCCCAAAGTGCTGGGATTACAGGCGTGAGCCACCGTACCCGGCTGCATTCCTTATTTGATGCTCTGAGGAAACACAATTGTATGTAGACAGGGTAGCACGACGTGATGATGAGATAGATTAGAGCGCTTGAATTGTCTGCAATGGTCCTGTGTGCTTCTGTTTAAAAGTCCCTCCGAGTGGCTGCCTGGGGATATGCTGCTCCTCTCCACAGTCCTAGCATGCCAGCTTTGGAGGCACACAGCTTGCTGGTGTCTACTTCAGTTCATCACTGATTCCTGTGAGGTGGCAGAGGCCTGGGCCCGCATGTACGGACCCAACCAGGGAACTGGGAGGGCTCCACAGAGCTACGGTGATGTTGCCAGGGCTCCCCGCCAGTGGACCATTGATCAGCAACTGACTCATACAGTGTTGAGTGACTGGTCTCCATAGACAGGGGAGACACAGCCTGGCCCCAGCCTTGAGCGGGCATTGCCCAAGTTCCTGCCTTTTCCAAGAAATTCAGACTCTTCGAATACGAACAAGGGCGGGCTCTGGTCGAGTATGGTGGCTCACGCCTGTAATCCCAGCACTTTGGGAGGCTGAGATGGACGGATCACCTGAGGTCAGGAGTTTGAGACCAGCCTGGCCAACATGATGAAACCCCATCTCTACTAAAAATACAAAAATTAGCCGGGCATGGTGGTGCACACATGTAATCCCAGCTACTCAGGAGGCTGAGGCAGGAGAATCACTTGAACCTTGGAGGTGGAGGTTGTAGTGAGCCAAGATTGCACCACTGCGCTCCAGCCTAGGCAACAGAGCGAGACTCTGGCTCAAAAAAGTAAAAAATAAATAATACCAATAGGAAGAGCCCTTTCTCTTTTTTTCAAACAGAATCGGGTATGGATAAGTAATAGCAGAACTGGCCGGGCGCGGTGGCTCAAGCCTGTAATCCCAGCACTTTGGGAGGCCGAGACGGGCGGATCACGAGCTCAGGAGATCAAGACCATCCTGGCTAACAGCTAACACAGTGAGAACCCCGTTCTACTAAAAAATTACAAAAAACTAACGCGGGAGAGGTGGCGGCTGCCTATAGTCCCAGCCTTACTCGGGATGGGCTGAGGCAGGATAGAATTGGCGTGAACCTGCGGCGGCGGAGCTTGCAGTGAGTTGCGGGATCCAGCACTGCACTCCAGCCTGGGCGGACAGGCGAGACTCCTGTCTCAAAAGAAAAAAAAAAAAAAAAAAGTAATTAGCAGAACTCCCTGTGGGGCATTGGTTGTGGCTCTCCGGGGAGCAGATTTGAGGACAACCGCCTGGCCCATTGTTCCAGGG